CAGAACTATGGCTTGCCCAAGGTCACATCAGCAGGTGCAAGTGGAGGAGTGGGGAATCAAACCCGGTTCTCCCAGATTAGAGGCCGTGCACTTAACCACTACACCAAACTGGCTCTCACTACACCAAAGGCACAACACAATGGCACTCTAGCAGGACAAATCCAGTTTCTAGTCCTTTTACATGGATCGGAGGCTAGACTCCTCTCAAGCCCTCGGAGGTGCACAACACTGTAAATCCCAGGGCCCAGATTCAGGATCACACCGGTTTTGATTCTCCCCCTTCCCCACACACAGATTGGCCACACACACCCCAAAGACTGATCCAAGATTGGCCACTTATGGTCAAGAAGGGGGATTCGGCTCTGACCTGGATAGCCCAGGCAAGCCCAATCTCGGCAGATCTCAGAAGCTGAGGAAGGCTGACCCTGGCAAGTAATACTAGGGCTGACCTCCAAAGAATACCGGGGCCAGGATGCAGAGGCAGGCAACCTCTGAAACACCCAAGCCCCACTAGGGGTTGCCAGAAGTTGGCCATGGCTTCCAGGCATACATGTTTGCTGTGACCCACCCTGAGCCCACTTGTGGGAAGGGCAGGATATAAATCTAAATAAATACATCACACAAAAAAATACTCACAAAAGGTGGTGGTGGGGATTTGAACTCGGCCCTCCCTGTCCAAGTTCCAACACTATAACTCAGGGATTCCCAGCTCTGCCACCCCTGTGTTGTCAGTTCTTTTAAGGGGTGGCACAAAATTATCAAAGCAAATTAATTCAGTTCTGGGGGGAAAAGATGCCATATATCACTTTCCCCTACGTTTTCCAAACTGTGAATAAATGCATTCACTTGGATCCTAAGGACATTTTCCATTGTACACGTGGCCACTGAACCCAGGAACTCAATTTCAGGAAATTTATTTATTTATTCCATTCATATCCCCGCCCTCCCAGCCGTGCACAGGGGAGCAGAAAAGGGGCGATTGGAAAGTTCTGCTCCATGAAAATATTTTATTTATAAATTCTTTCTTCCCAATGGGAACCCAAAGTGACTTACACCATTATTCTCTCCCCCTTCATTTTATTCTCACAAAATTCGTGTGAGGCTGAGAGATGGTGATCCGCCCAAAGGTCACCCGGCAAGCTTCCAGGGCAGAGTGGAGATTCAAACTCATGTCTCCAAAATTCAAGTTAGCATTTTAAGCACAATAGTATATGAAAGTTCCTGTTCCTTTTAGTTCAAACATAGTTTTGTTTTATACTTCAAGCAACAAGTGTTGGGAGTGAAGGACTGTTTACGGTGTCTCCAGTTTGGTGCAGTGGTTAAGTGCGCGGACTCTAATCTGGGAGAACCGGGTTTGATTCCCCACTCCTCCACTTGCACCTGCTGATGTGACCTTGGGTCAGTCACAAGCTCTGTCAGAGCTGTCCTTGAAAAAGAGCAGTTTGTGTCAGAGCTCTCTCAGCCCCACCCACCTCACAGGGTGTCTGTTGTAGGGAGGGGAAGGGAAAGGAGTTTGTAAGCCGCTCTGGGACTCCAAGTGAAGGGCGGGGTATAAATCCAATTTCTTCTTCTTCTTCCTGCCTCAGACTACAGAGAAAGACTGCAATAGAGTCAGAGAGATAGTGAGGCCAGGGCAAAGAACATCCTTCTCTCTGATGCTGCCCCTTTGATGTAGACGGCTATACTTTGGGAAAGTGACCTTCCTTCCTGTTTCTCTCCACTCATGCGCACAATGCCATGATTCCCAAACGTTGGCACCACAACAGCAAGATGCTTCCTGCATCTCCGTCCATCTAGATAGTTAGATCATGTTACTAAACCTCTTTCCTATCTAGAATGGAGTTCATACGATAAACTCCTAATTTTAGTCTGAAATATAAAGAGACTCCGTGTAACTTGTTTCTTGCTCGCACACACGCTATGCCAGATGGCTCGGCTGTGCATATGAGCCCTGGGCACTCTGCTGACTATACATCCCGACAAAGGGAACGTCACATCTCCGAAAAGGCTGGGACTCACTGCCATGACTGCTGTACCACGCTGGCTGTGTTATCTTCTTACAAACCCCAAAACCAATTCTAGCTGCCATTCGACCCTCAAACAACAAGGGGTAAAATCCACCCTCTGCTCTTCTTTAGAATGAACTGGAATCATGTCAGGATAACTGATCCAAACCGGTCTTCAGTACCGGCCCCTGAAGCAGTACAGGCCCTGTGTGCAAATATTCCCATTTGTGCCATAAATCCCTTGCCTTCTTTAAAAGAGTATCGAATTCACTTCAGCAAGTTCTGCAGGGTTAACTGGGCTATTTGGTCTTCTGGCGGTGAATGGCCAGAAACAAATTATTTATGGTTCAAAGTATCCCCAGGACTCCATAAACCTGCTTGGCAGCTAGAAGTGCCCTTGCTCGGAGACACATGAAACAACCCTCCTCTCTCCTGCCTGGCCAGAGGGACATGGATCAGCGGTAGAACATCTGTGCTGCGCACAGAAGGTCCCGTATTCAAGTCCCAGCTTCTCTAGTAACAAGGACTGGGTAGCAGATAATGGGAAAGATCTCTGCTAGAGACCTGCTGCTGGTCAGAGGAGGCAATGAGGACCTCGACAGGCCAAAGATCTGATTCAGCATAACAGCTTCATGCGCATTTGTATGCACCTACGTGGCTAAGCACTGCAGCAGGCACACACGGCACAAGAGACCTGCTCCATGGCTCAGTGCGGCTGGTGAAGCTCCCCTTTCACATGCAAGGACTTGGGAGGATGGAAAGGTCCATCAGAGACCTCAGGATGTGGCTCGACTCTTAAGCCAAGCCAAACCAAATTTTGTCCTCCACCCCCATCTCCTCACAGCAGGCATTTGAGAAGGTTTTGCTAAATACCTGCTTGGCCTGGCGCGTGTCCTAATGACAAGGAACGCAACATCACTCCTCTTGCTCATTCCCTCCAACTAGCCTAACTAGTTCCCATTATCCAACTGGGCAGCCCGCCTCTTCTCCCAACAGCACAACAGCCGTGACCTCGACATGTCAGTAAAACTCATTATCTGCAAAGGCTTAAAAGCCATTTCCCTTGAAACATTCTCTGCTCCTCGACTTCCTCCTGTGTTGAAAGAGAGGGTAGAGATGCCGGGAACCTTTTGTCGTGGAACCCAGTGCCTCCCGCTCTGAACGGAAGAAAGCAAACCATCCTGTTGGCAGATTTTGACTTGTTAATTCCCTCCTTTCGGAACAAAGCAACGTTCCGCCACAGAAGAAACCTGGGATAATGTTCCGTGGAAAAGACCCTCCGTCAGCTGGAGAGGTATGGAGGGGAAGGGGGAAAAGAGGATCAAGCGCTTACCATTCCCAGCATCCCAAAAGGCGAAACAGCTCCTGCCTGTAAAAGGACAAAAGAATACAAAGCAATTAAAATGGTAACAAGCCTGGATTTTCCTCCTTAAATGCACCTCTGCCCTGGAACAGAAAAGGACTTGGGGCAGGGGTGGCCAAACTGCAGCTCTTTCACGCCTATTGTGCGGCTCCTGGCAGGGCGGCTGGGGAAGCTAAATATCATTAGCAAACAAGTATCATTGGGCAAATTAATATCATGATCGATATCTGCTTTTTCCCCTTTTGTTATTATTTTGGCAGTCTCGTTTCATGCTAATAAAAAGCAAATTTGCACATTTCCCAGTTAAAAACGTGTAATATTTGTTCATGTCTCGTGGCTCGCAAACACCTGATGTTTATTCTATGTGGCTCTTGCGTTAAGCAAGTTTGGCCGCCCCTGGTTTAGGGGCTTGTTTTTCAGCTCCAAGGAGAGAAGATAGGACATCAACTCTGCTCAAATTTATGTGAGTCAAATATAGCCCTGTGCAAAGATATTCAGGAGTAAGTGTCTTGGATTCAATGGGACTTCTATCCAAGCAGCTATAGGAGACACTTGCTGCCCTAGCCATGGAGTCAGCAAGATCATGGACGACTCCTGTTTTTGTCCCAGGCAGTGCCTAGTTGCTGAATCACTTAGCTTCTACAACAACGATGCTGACGTTCAAATAAATAAAGAAGCACAAAACTGCCAAATGGGAGTCATATATAAATCCAGCAGTATTTCTCAGAAATGTTGTTTTTGGGGGGGGTTTAAGCCCCCGGAGGGGATTTTTTATTGATTTTTTTTTCACTACAAAAAACTACAACCGAAAAACGGGGAGGGGAAACTACATATACGGGAGAAAGTAAAGAACCCACTACTAACTAAAACCCCAAGAGAGGAGACCCTCCAACTAGCTTAGATACATCGAGTCTTCTCATCGTTGATCCCTTTATAAACTTGAGTCAAACATTTATAGCACTTTCCCCTTAAAGTTGTTGTTCAGTCGCACAGTCGAGTCCGACTCTTCGCGACCCCATGGACCAGATCACGCCAGAAATACAAGTAGTTAAAAATTAGAAGAGTCAATCCCTTTCAGTAAGCTTGGATGCTATTTAATACTGCATATGAAGGGCCCAAATAAAGCATATCCCACACATTAGAAAGATCACACACAGGAGTCCAAAGCATTCCAGCACAGTTAAATAGCGAAGGCTTCTGTTAAAAAATAAAAAATGGAACCCCCCCCACAGGAGTCCCAATTCAGCACAAATATAGGGAGGCTTAAATGCTCTGAAGCCACTGAGCTTCAGTCATTGACTGTGGCCCAACTTTGGTACCAAAAAAAGGTGAATTCAATAAGACAAAGACATTTGAAAAACAAATTGCTAATATTGTAAAAGCTAAAAGCAAAAAAAGGTCTTTCATCCTGAAACAATGCCAGACATAAAAACCAGGCAGAGACGTTGCAGAAATGGGGACAAGCTGAAGAGACAGGGGAATGTCACTGAAAACAAAATGAATTCTGCACATCAGACTTCACTGCAGAAGAGGTTAGTGTGATACCTGAGAAGGACATCTGAAAAACTCTTAAGAGATAAAATTATATAGCAGATTGACAAACCGAGAAAACACACCAGGGACAGATGCCATTCACCTCAAGGTTGTTGAAGAACGTAATGGGGAAGTTGACGTTCTATTAAGATACGTGACATTATTTACACCAGTCCTCTCACCAGGAGCTAGTAGATAGCTGAGCGGATACCAGTTTTTAAAGAAAAGATTTGAGGGATTCCAAACAGTTTAAAAGCCTAACTTCTGTGCCGGATAAACCAAAGGAAAGCAATATTAAGGTTAGGATGACGAAAAGTAGAAGAACAAGCCTGGCTGAGTAAAAATCCAGAAGACATCTGCAAGGTCTAACTTCAACAACTATCTGGAGGTCTTCAAGAGTGTCACCAAAGTGGTTAAGTAGGAAAAATCTACTAGGTGTTATATACCTGGAGCTTTTCAATATTCAAAGAGCTTTTGACAAAAGTGTCTCAAGAACCTTAGCAGTTGTGAGATAAGAAGAAAGAAGGCACCCTCTCTGTACATCAGCAACTGGATGAAGAACAGGGGGAAAAGTTCACAACGGAAGGACACAAGTCCCACGCTCAGCTCTGCAACGGGACCAGTGCTATTTCTCTTTCTTTGACAATTATATGAGCAGACACTGAGACATGTGGGTAAATGGATGACACACCAACAGCCTTGAAATCGCCAGCAGGTTTGTGAAGGGCTCGCCAGCTTCTCTCTGAATTAGATGAACAGGCAATCCTGAACGGAGTTGTAGTTGTTGTTCAGTCGCACAGTCGAGTCTGACTCTTCGCGACCCCATGGACCAGCTCCCGCCAGGCCCTCCTGTCTTCCGCCGTCCTCTGAAGTTGGCTCAATTTCATGTTCGTTGCATCTATGACACCGTCTAACCATCTCATCCTTTTCCGTCCCCATCTTCTTTGGCCTTCAATCTTTCCCAGCATCAGGGTCTTCTCCAGGGAGTGCTCCCTTCTCATTTGGTGGCCAAAGTAGTTGAGCTTCAGTTTCATTATCTGGCCTTCCAGGGAACAGTCAGGGTTGATTTCTTTTAGGATTGACTGATTTGATCTTCTTGCAGTCCAAGGGACTCTCAAGAGTCTTCTCCAGCACCATAGTTCAAAAGAATCTATTCTTCGGCGCTCGGCGAAGTTAGGTCCTTCTAATTCCTTTTACTCAAATGGCCTTGGAAGGATGCAGCCCTGCTTTGGACTGCACTGCTAGCTGCCGTTTGTATTGAGACAAACAGAGCTCGACGCAGTAGTCCCCATACGGCTATGCCATAGTTGTAATCTATGCCAACCGTATTATGGTGCTACCTCTCTTTCCACAGAGATTTCCCCCGCCCAAGTCTTGATTGTAAACATATCTTATAGTAAGCCCAATATCGGTCTATTACATACACTGACTGATCTCGGACTGAGGTGCCAGTTTGGTGTAGTTGTCAGAAGTGTGGACTCTAATCTGGGAGAACCAGGTTTGATTCCTCACTCCTCCACCTGCAGCAGCTGGTGTGACCTTGGGCAAGCCACAGTTCTCTCAGAGCTGTTCTCTCAGAGCTCTCTCAGCTCCACCTACCTCACGGGGTGTCTGTTGTGGGGAGAGGAAGGGAAAGGAGTTTGTAAACCACTCTAAGACTCCGAGTGAAGGGTGGGGTATAAATCCAATCTCCTCTTCTTTTTCTCAGCCCTGTCAAGCTAGGTCCTTTCAACTGGGACCGAACCCAGTAGCTTTTGCAAGCAAACGTGTCTGTCATTCTACTGGGCTGGGACTTCTCCCCATAGTACATGTGAGTTGAAGTCCTAAGCTGGGCTGTCCAGCACAGCCCTCAGATGTTTCCTGGGAAGTCATCGATTCCATTACTGTTTATGGAGAACTCAGATTCCCTTCCTAGTGCAATCCCAAATAGAGTGACTCCCTCCTAAGGGTACTGAAACCAGCACTGTAAAATGCAGGGGGTTGGACTAAGATGACCTGCAAGGTCCCTTCCAACTCTAACATTCTATGATTAAAGGCTCCGAGCACCCTCACTGCAATGAACAGGTGAAGAGTATGGTATGGGGCTTTCATGGCAGGGGGAGATGGCTGTAGATGGAACGTGATAGAGCTCTAGACAATTATAAGTGCTGTGAACAGAGATAATGGCCTCTGTCTCATTATAGCAGGTTACCCAATCAAGTTCACTGACTGGTGGTAGCTGGAGAGATAAAAGAATACTTCAGCTGGCTGTGGAATCTGTCAGTACAGGACATGGCGATGGCCCCAAACTTAAAAAAAACCCAGAAAGCTTCAGGAAGTATAGCTTTACAGCCATTATTAGCCAGGATAACTAAATTGAACTTAAAAAAAGAAGAAGAAAGAAAACAGAAAGCTTCAGGAAGTATAGCTTTAACAGCCATTATTAGCCAGGATAACTAAATTGTAGATATTCAGAAGAAGGGTACCAGATGCTGTGGAACCAAGGCGGCCTCCTTCACATATTGCTTGTGGGTTTAAGTCAAGACATGTGGTTAGCTAGGGGGTCCCCAGGTAGCCCCCAGCCACACTGAGCCTGTGGACACTTCAGGGATTTGGGGAATGGGGAGTGAGCCCCAATACAAGATAGCTGCCCTAAGATGCTGAGGCCAATCACAAAACTCTGGGAGGTCACAAGCCAAGCATCCTCCCACAACGGGAAGCAGCTGTTTCCAAATGGATATTCCCTGCGGATCCAAAGAGAATGCTTCTTTATTTTTTTTCTTCCCTGAAGCCCCTCCCCCTCCAGCGAGGCGGAGAAAAGCCAAAACTGGATGTCTGCTTTGTGGAAGAAGAAAGTGGTTGCTAGGAAACCTATCAGTGGGTGCCAGGGTGCCCGGAGTCAGGATGCTGGGGGATTACTGGGTTAGCCACTCCGCCAGCAAGATAATTCTTGCGGTCTTAAGCAGTGTTCCCTCTAAGTTGAGTTAGTGTGAGCTGGCTCACAGTTTTTTTAGCCTCCGGGGCTCACACATTTTTGTCTCGGCTCTCAGGAAGGAGGGCTCCAGAGCAAGCGAATTTATGCAGCGGGCAAATCGCTCGCTCACGACTTTAATGCCAGTAGCTCACAAAGTGGAATTTCTGCTCACACGACTCCACAGCTTAGAGGGAGCATTGGTCTTAAGTCTGGTGTGTCTCCTCCCTTCCCACACTGGGAAGGCACACCCACCACACAAGCCTCCTTTTCGGCGTGTTTTGTGACACCGTGCGAGGGCTCCCAACCACACCGAAAAACCGAAGAGGCACAGAAAGGGAAGATAGATGCCTTCCATCTCGCCCTGCGCGCTTTCATGCCAGATTGAATGCAGACCTGCCCACAGCCCTCTGTTACCTGCATCCTACGGCTTGCCTGGCGAGCTGCAGGTACGGTCCCGTTACCGATGCTGAGGAAGGGGCCATAGCCAAAGCCACCCGAGAGCACACGGTTCACATGCTGGTGGTGGATGGCGAGAGGGTCCCTGGAAGAGGGTCAAAAGAATGTCAGATCTTTCACTCTAAAAACCCCTCTCCATCCAGTGCTTCCCCCTCCCAAGAGTCACAGAGGTTTCGGGGCCCATACTCACATTACAAACATCGGATCTTCCGGCTCCCCATCTCTCATGAACCGGAACATAATTCCCTCAGTTGCAGGATGGGCTGCCCAGAACAGAAAAGGAGGAGGCGAACTACATATTACACAGAAACAAGTTCAGGCCAGCTTTAAGTCCAGATACCTTTCCTCAGCTCTCTTTGTCAAGGGAAGGCCGCACAAACCTCATTCGTAGCAGTAAACCACTCCCATCGCCGATGACACAAGTTAACTATATATTTTGTCGACCGGCACTTACTTATGAATGGTCCTGCGAGTCCCCCAACTGGCCGCCTGCTTTCTAAACTGCGGAACAATCCCCCCAGCTGGAAAAAAAGCACTGGGAACCAAAGCTGCACATGCACCAGCACCAGTGTTCCCTCTAAGCTGAGTGTGAGCTAGCTCACAGCTTTTTAGCCTCCGGCTCACACATTTTTGTCTTAGCTCAGGAAGGAGGGCTCCAGAGCAAACTAATTTATGCAGTGGGCAAATCGCTGGCTCACAACTTTAATGCCAGCAGCTCACAAAGTAGAATTTTTTGCTCACAAGACACCACAGCTTAGAGGGAGCATTGACCAGCACTGAACATACTCTGCCTTCACCCGCTCCCGCTTGCTCCCACAGACTTCCCTTGACGCCCCAACTTTCTCCTGCTCGGGAGCCTCAGAGAACCAGGCCCCTGCACCTTTGCTACAAAAGGAAACCCGGACAGCCGGGTAAGGATGCTTCCCCCACAGCAGGTCCTATAATTCCTTCACCACAAGAGCTATTAAAGGTGCAGACAGGCTGGTTTGGCATCTGGTCGCCCTAAGGCAGTGGTGGCGAACCTATGGCACGGGTGCCAGAGGTGGCACTCAGAGCCCTCTCAGTGGGCACGCGTGCCATCGCCCCAGCCAGGCCCAGACCACCATTAAAGTGCCGAATTCTCTGCCAAATAATTTTAAGTCAATGAAAGCATTTGGGATTGCTTTCCTTACTTTGTTTGGATCATCTTAAGTTAATGTATGAGTTGTTTTTTCTAAAGTAAAACCTCAGTATTCAGGTTAAATTGCCGTGTTGGCACTTTGCGATAAATAAGTGGGGTTCTGGGTCGCAGTTTGGGCACTCGGGTCTCTAAAAGGCTCGCCATCACTGCCCTAAGGGGTAAACGTGCACCCGTTTCAAGGGCAGGATGAACGGAATCCTGCAGGCAGCACCGGGGAGGGAAGGAAAAGGTCAGGGGGATGCTACGTAACCCCCCCCTGTCCGCCCCCCCCCCCTCCCCGCCGCCCCCCCCTCCC